CGGCGAGATCAATCCGTTGGTCTTTTCCGCTAAGCTCTACGACGCTCCGTTTTCAAACGCCAAGGGGGGGGGTCGCACCAACCCCCCCCCCCTGCATGGGCGAAGGTGGCAGATCGCCGTTTACGGGCGAGGGTTAAGCAAGCTAAAATGTATACCATTCGACGCGCCTTGACGTGCTGAGTTCACTAGTGCTTTTCTTTTTGCTCTATCTTAAATAGATCAAAAGTTATAAGCGAAAAACTTTTGACATGTTTTTAGCGAAATTTTTACATTTATACCCCCAAAACCCCCCTAAATATTGACCTAGAGCAACCAAATTTGCACAGGGGCGAGAACTCTAGGGGGCCCACCTACCTACCAAATTTGGTGTTTCTAGGTGCCATAGGAGCCAATCGCGAGGGGGGTTCGCATCGACCCCCCCCCTGCCAGGCTGTGTTATGAAAAATGCCCTGCCAGGGCGAGGGGTAATATGGGAATCGGGGTCACCGTGAAAGGTCACCAGAGTTCACCTTTTTTCAAAGTCCGGCTGATAGGTAAGCCCACTTGTTTCAAAATAAAACTTTAACGATATTGATTATTGAATTCAATAATGCAGCCAAGAGCACGGGTAGTCAGTTCAGACTTGTCAAAAAGCACAGTAGAACAAACCTTCGCCAATTACCTATTCCTTAGGTATAGGAGAAGACACGGTGACTATAAGGAGAAGAGTCGTGAAACAACTCTTCTACTTGTCTATTTCGTATGAAGAGAGCGCGCAGTTGGTATAGGGCTGGTATAGGGCAAGGCTATGTAAACCAAGGCTATGTAAAAAGGCAGGCGCGCACACAGGATTTTTGAATGGGGGGGGGGCAGGGCACGACCTTCGAACTGGGCCCCCCATGCCGAAGGGCCCCCCCAAAAAAATATGGCCCACGGGGCTATATTTCGGTTGGTTTGAAGCTTGAGCAATTGGTTTGTCAATGCATGGTAAAACAATTATTTCGGTACCAGCTTAATTTTCAAAACATATATATTTTACGCTAGGCTTTTTTTCTCAAATGCGACTCAGAGCCGGTACATATTACCTAACCATCTAATTTATTACGTAAAACATTTCATTAATAAACATTTTTGCAGGTCCCTCAGAAATCAGCCCCGGGCAGCGACTGACTGCCGGCCGGCCGACCGGCCCCGGGTGGCTAGAAGCAGGGGCCGGTCACTGTTTGGCCCGGATGTGTAGGAGCAGGAGCAGCACTCCTTTTTCACGTATATTCGCATATTTTTTTAGGCACATCGACATGAAATGTCATTATATCTGATACGATGCGGGATCACAGACTAGAGATCCAGCTTATAACTTATATTGAATGCTTAACCAATGAATCAAATCAACAGGACTATGTACGATGCATGTCGGACACGTACCCAGAATTTCGCCCAAGAGGGGGTCACCCATGCTGGTCACCTGACCCCGGGCCCGCGAGTCACCCGGGCGCCCGGGGTCAGCTCAGGCAAGGATATAGGTACCCAGGACCTTTCGATGGGAGGAGGGAGGCACGGTGGGTCCAGTCTCACTGGCAGACGGGTCTCTTTAAAACGGTCTTTGCATGAGAAAATGTGGAAAATTGGCAAGCAAAAGTATCATTTATGCCCGAGGAGTGTGACTAATGTACACTAATGCCTAATTTACATGGTATTTTACGAGCGAGCGAAGCGAGCGAGCTCCTCAGAGTCACCCGTGGCGCGTTCAGAGGTGCCAGTGAAAGGCCGTCAGATGCGCTGGTGTTGGGTCCTCACAGGCGCCGTTGCGGGGTCTTAGGGCTTAGAGACACTGGTGGGGCCATCATTTGCATGTGTGTGGCCCTGCAAAATGGCCTGCAAGTGGAAAGTGGCCCGTCATAGGCTGGCAAGGACACTCGGAGGCTGGTAAGAGGCCCTCAGAGTCACTGGTACGTGGCTCTCAGAGTGTGGGGACTCTCAGAGCCGCCGATATGTACGATGCATGTCGGACACGTACCCAGAATTTCGCCCAAGAGGGGGTCACCCATGCTGGTCACCTGACCCCGGGCCCGCGAGTCACCCGGGCGCCCGGGGTCAGCTCAGGCAAGGATATAGGTACCCAGGACCTTTCGATGGGAGGAGGGAGGTGAAGTAGACAGCACGGCGTCCCGTTCAAAACTGTATTGCTTCCCGGCCGCTCACCCGAGGTCGTGTCACAGATACTGCCCGAGGCACCGGGCGAGTCCACTGGGACGAGAGGGGTGACCAGTATGCGAGGGAGAGAGGGAGGGAGGCCGCCGGTAGAGGCGAGAGCCGGCTATGACATCCCTCCACCCCGCAATATAACATAATCCAACTAACGTAACAACAAAACTCTGGTCACTTTTAACGATATCAGGCACGGAGAGCTCACACACTTCACTCACACAACAGCCGGTCCGGCCGCCGTAACGTCTCTCGCGGACGCAGATTGTATCGCGGCGCCGGCGGCGGTCCGCCCGCCGGGACCGACGGTGACCCGTCCGGAGCAGCCGGGGCCACCGCCCGAGCCGCCAGTCCGGCCCTCGGCGGTACGTCGGCATCAAACAGGTCCCGCCGCGTCCGATCCAGGTCCAGCGCCCGTCCAGCGGTCGGCGGCGGTACGTCGGCCATAGTCCGGCGCGGCCGGACCCGATCCAGATGCCTCCAGATCACTCTCCCATCCTGCAACTGAACAGCCAGTTTTACTCCCTTCCGCACCACTATCACACCCGGCAGCCATTTACAACCAGCAGCACTTTGTACACGATCAACGGCTGACACAAACACAGCATCGCCTACGCACACGGAACGTTCATAGGAGCCCCTGTCGGCGTACAGTTTTTGTTTGTCCTGGTTTTTCCTCACTCTACCACTCAGATCAGGCCTGACCAGATCCAGCGGGGTTCGCACCGTCCTGCCAAGGAATAATGCCGCTGGGGACACCTGGGTGGTTGTGTGCGGTGTTGTGCGATAGCGCAGCAGGAAACGCGCTATTTTGGTGTGAATCGTGCCCGATGTTTGCTTTTTAATACTGTTTTTCAATGTCTGAACACTACGCTCCGCCAAACCGTTAGATTTCGGAGACAGTGCAGGAGAAGTCAAATGATGAATGCCATTCGAGCGACAGAACGTCTGAAAAGTCTCAGACAAGAAACATTGTGCGTTGTCAGACACAAGAGTCTTTGGCAGCCCCCACGAGGAAAATGAAGCGCGCAAATGTTCTATGGTGGTCTCGGACGTGCATGATCGCGACGGAAACACGTCCATCCACTTTGAATGAGCGTCAATGACAATTAATACCCACCAGCCATCAATTGGACCACAATAATCTACGTGCACACGCTCCCATGGTTTTGATGGCCAAATCCATGGGTGCAGCGGAGTCTCAGGTACGTTGGCACGATAAGCCTGACATTTGCCACAATTCTGTGCAATGGATGTGATGTCCTGATCGAGGTTAGGCCACCACACATACATTCTTGCGAAAGACTTGGTGCGCGTCTCTCCGCAGTGCCCGTCGTGTAGAAGACTCAAAATTTTTGCCCTTCCCTGTGGCGGTATCACAACGCGCGAACCCCACAATATACATCCATCCTGAATGCTCAGCTCGGCTTTACGGGACCTAAAAGGTCGGAAATCTGGCGACAGCACCTCCCCGTCATCCGGCCAGCCCTCCTGAACATACTGAAGCACGACAGCCAAGACAGGGTCTCTAGAGGTCCACCGGCGAATGTGGTCCACAGTGACCGGAGACGCGTCTAAAAACTCCATCAAATGTATCGTCTCCGCCGGAACGGGGCTCGACTGACCGACCACCGACGACGGGACGGGCAGCCGACTGAGCGCGTCACAGTGAGTTTGTTTAACGCCGGGGACGAATTCAAGGCGATAATCATACGCTCCCAGCATAAGGGCCCACCTGACCACCCGGGGCGATGCCATCAGTGGGAGCGGCTTGGACTCACCTATCAGCCCCAGCAGGGGCTTATGATCGGTCCGTATTGAAAACGGACGGCCCGCCAGATAATAGTGGAACCTCTTTACACCGGCCACCACCGCCAAACCCTCCCGGTCGGTCTGGGAGTAGCGCCTTTCAGTCTCGTTTAAAGAGCGCGAATAAAACGCGATCGGTCTCTCCCCTTGCCTCGTTTGCTGGCTAAGAATGCACCCCAATCCCACTGGACTGGCGTCACATGCCAAAATCACAGGGAGTTTTGGGTCAAAATGTCCCAAAACGGGAGGGCTTTTGAGCAAACGTTTCGCATCCTCAAAAGCTCCCCTTTCAATGTGCGTCCACCGCCAAGGGCGATTTTTCCGTAACAGAACATAGAGCGGCGAAAGGGTGGTGGCCAAACCCTGCAAAAATTTTCCGTAGTAATTGATAAGGCCGAGCCAGCACCGCAGCTCGGAAACATCTCGGGGCTCTGGCGCGCCCGTGATGGCAGCGACCTTTTCCTCAGTCGTCTCCACGCCGCTCCCGCTGACCTTGTGACCCAGGTACGTTACGCTGTCCACGCCAAACAGCACTTGTCCCGGTTCGCCCTGAGACCCGCCTCACGCAGCCGGCGCAACACCTCACGCAGCGCTACATCATGACTTTCCACAGTCTCACCCGCCACGACAACATCATCGAGGAACACACACACACCCTGTATCCCCGCTAGCAGCGTGTCCATGGTTCTCTGGAACAGGGACGGGGCTGAAGCGTACCCGAAGCTAAGTCTCGTGGGTCTCAGCAATCCCCTCTGTGTGTTTACGGTCAGAAAGTCACGTGAACTCTGATCGAGAACCATCTGGTTGTACGCGGACTTAAGGTCTATCTTTGAAAAGACCTTACTGCCCGTTAAGCGTGTAAGCAGCTCTTCCACGCGTGGAAGCGGATATTGGTCCACCTTGGCCACCCTGTTGACCGTGAGGCGATAGTCCCCACATAACCTGATCTTTCCCCCTGGTTTTGGCACGACGACTAGGGGGGGCGGCCCACTTACTGTGCTCCACCGGCTCCCACAGTCCTTGCTGGATCTGTTTCTCCAGCTCGGCATCCACCTGCTCGCGGAATGCCAGTGGGACTGTGCGAGCTTTGAAGAATCTCGGCTTCACATCGGGATCCACCGAAATGGTCACCTCAGCGCCACGATAGCACCCCAAACCATCGCTGAAAACCTCAGAAAACTCATGAACGAGCGTCTGAGCCCGAGAGCGGTCGGTAAGCTGACATATGGAGGGCCAGTCAAGTCGTATGGTCGACAGCCAGTTTCGACCAAAAAGAAATGGTCCCTCGCCCTTAACTACCACCAGCGGCAGCTGCGCTCGCTGCCCGCCATACTGAACATCCACCATGGCCTGACCACACACCCCTAACACCTCACCGCTGTAAGTTTTCAACAGTTTGTCACATGGGCTAAGATGGGGCCCACCGACCGGCCAAGTACCCTTGAACACTTTCTCTGAGCAAACAGACAATGCAGCTCCCGTATCTATTCTAACTCCATACGCAGCGGGCAGCCGTCCACACATACATCAACCATTAGTGGTGGTTTACGATCTACTCCCAACTGCACCCCTTGAGCACGGAACAAGTAATATGGCTCGTCCTCACCGTCATTGTGGGGCGCCGCGCCACTCTGAGAAGTCCCAGGCGTCACGGACGGCTCCGGCTGCTCCTCCTCCTCCAGCAGCCGGACACGCTGAGACTCGGCGCGGCTCCGGCAGGCCGCTCTGGTGTGGCCCACGGCTCCGCACGCATAACAGTTCTGCGAGCGGAAGGGGCAGGCCGCCGGGACGTGCCGTCGGCTGAGACAGCGGCTGCAGGCACCCCGCGCCGGCGGAGCGCGGGAGGCAGCCCCGCCGGTGTCCAGGGGACGCCGATTGTCGTTCACCAGTGCTCGCCGGCTGTCGTTCACCAGTGCTCGCCGGCTGTCGTTCACCAGGGCTGGTCGGCTGTCGTTCACCAGGGCTGGTCGGCTGTCGTTCACCATCCTCCGTGGTGTCCCATCGACTCGTCCGATGACGGCAGACGACTCGGAGCGGCCGCTGAGCTCGGCTGCACTGGCTGCTGCCGACTCGTGGGCCTGAGCGATCTCCAGAGCCGTGTCCAGAGTCAGCCGCGGCTCGCTCAGCAGACGTGATTGCAGCCGCTCATGCTGAATACCGCAAACCAGTCGGTCACGAAGCATCTCGTCCAGCTGGCCTGGCTGAAACTTGCAGGGCTTCGCAAGCTTGCGGAGCCTCGCCGAAAACGACGACACTGACTCTCCAGCATCGCGAGTGCAGGAGTGAAACCGAAATCTGGAGACAATTGCAGATTGTTGCGGTTCAAAGTGGTCGACCAATATCTTCACAAGCTCCTTGAACGTTTTGTCTCCCACTGCGGCTGGGGCTATGAGGTCCTCCAGGAGGCTGAAGGTGCTGGCGCCAACCGCGCTCAGCAGTATGGCGCGGCGCTTCTCGACTTCATCTTCACCGACGCTGTTGGCGACAAAGTGCTGTTCGAGACGCCTGCTGTACGCGCCGAACGACTCCACTGCCGCATCAAACTCGGGCGCCCGGCTCACTGACGCCATCACTGCTTCCCTTGCCACTAATCACCGCGCGGCGCACACGTTCACCGCCTCGTCGCCATTGAAGTAGACAGCACGGCGTCCCGTTCAAAACTGTATTGCTTCCCGGCCGCTCACCCGAGGTCGTGTCACAGATACTGCCCGAGGCACCGGGCGAGTCCACTGGGACGAGAGGGGTGACCAGTATGCGAGGGAGAGAGGGAGGGAGGCCGCCGGTAGAGGCGAGAGCCAGCTATGACAGGAGGCACGGTGGGTCCAGTCTCACTGGCAGACGGGTCTCTTTAAAACGGTCTTTGCATGAGAAAATGTGGAAAATTAGCAAGCAAAAGTATCATTTATGCCCGAGGAGTGTGACTAATGTACACTAATGCCTAATTTACATGGTATTTTACGAGCGAGCGAAGCGAGCGAGCTCCTCAGAGTCACCGGTGTGTGGCGCGTTCAGAGGTGCCAGTGAAAGGCCGTCAGATGCGCTGGTGTTGGGTCCTCACAGGCGCCGTTGCGGGGTCTTAGGGCTTAGAGACACTGGTGGGGCCATCATTTGCATGTGTGTGGCCCTGCAAAATGGCCTGCAAGTGGAAAGTGGCCCGTCATAGGCTGGCAAGGACACTCGGAGGCTGGTAAGAGGCCCTCAGAGTCACTGGTACGTGGCTCTCAGAGTGTGGGGACTCTCAGAGCCGCCGATGTAGGCCCTTAAGATGCGCTGGTGGGGGTCCCTTGGAGGTGGGGCGATGGGCGGCGCAGTTGCTGTTGTGGGTGCCTTTAAAACACTGGTGCGGACCGTGTGTCTGTCACAGACGGATGTGGAGCCATAGCAGCCAGGCCCTCGTTGGCCGTTAGGGGAGATCCGTGTAAGACGCCCAGGGTCGGTAAGAGGCCCCATCGCTTTTTTTACCAAACCAATAATGTTATTTATTTTTTAATGTTCTTGTACAGCAGAAGCCCTCTTGAAACAACAACTCACGAAACCTGAGGTATCAGGTGCGTCGCAGCGACTTTTGGTAAGCCTGTTTCTGTTTTTGCCCCTTTACTTGTTAGATATATGCATCTTTATCACCCTTATATATCTGAAAAAACAATGGCTATCAAATGCAATCTTATCTCATCGAAATTGTCACATGTTAGCTTCAGAATAGACCATGTTCTGGTGCGCTGCAGTTGTCTCATAAACCATAAATATTGTGACATTAAAACACTGCATTTTTTTAAGAGGCCCTCCCTTTGAGGATTATAAAACGCCCCCCAATAAAAAACGCCCCCGATGCTAAAACGCCTGCACCTGCGGCAGGCGTGGCATTCTTTTTTCAAGGAGTTTGTTTTTGTTTCTTTTTTTCTGTTTCTTTTTCTAGAGGTAATAGGTACAATTTTCGTTGGTCATCAGCGTTTGGTTGTGCTAGTTTTCGCATTGTTCGAGCGCTTTGGAAGTGTTATTGGTTTCGATAACACCGTATTTGCTTAGCTTTTCGAAATAAAAGGCCTTGCAGCTGTGTTCGCAAAACGTCTTTTACAAGTCGACTTGCCTTGTTAAACGCCCGGGGGGGGGGGCGTCTTACCATACCCATAGTGTAAGAGGCCCTTTTGCAACTTTTTCCAAAATGTTAAAGTTTACGGTTTGTGTACCCCCTAGATTCATTTTGAATGCAAATATGTATGGGAAAATGATGCATGCTCACAGCGCATGCACACGTTAGCTCTTAAATATTATCAGTTGTCTAAAAATAGCAACTGAGCTTAAGGGGGGGCCTCCTGCACCACTCTCCCCTACTACTTAGGGCCCTGAGCGGCCGGCGAGGTCTCTCAGAAACCGGCATTAGGCCTTTATGAAGATAATTGTGGCTACATAGGAGCCAATAACGTCCCCCCACAAGCCCTGTGGTGTCCTTCCGAGTTGAAGTGCGGCCAGCGCGAACCCTCTGCTACCAACTGGCGCCGCAGGGCCCCTCGGTTTCGAAGGAACCCTAAACCCGAGAACGGGCACGTACCCCCTCGCTCCCTTGCTATGTCACTGAATCCAAGTGATGGGACCCTTTAGGTAATCAGGGGCGTTTCAGATGACCATGGGTTTTCAATTGATCAGGGGCCCACCAGGTGACCATGGGCCCCTCTGGTAACCAGGCGCCCCTTAATTAACCAGGGACCCCATCAATAACCAGGGCCCCTCAGTAAACGGGGGCCACTCAGGTGAGTGTAGTAGTCCCGCAGATAACCAGGGCCGGCAAGGTTTCTCAGGTCCGTTTTTTGACAAGGCTCTTATTGACTCAGGTGCGAGCATGGGTGGAGCTTTTCCAGGGAAATTGGTGGGGCAAAAAGTCGTCAAACCCACAATGTCCGATTATAAAGTTTAATAAAATGCCACACTGAATCAATTCCTATCATTACAGACATATTATTTTGCATCAAACAGGCATTCCAAAGCTATTCAATGCGAAAAAAGATTAATTTGCAAAGCAACAAAGTCTTAGAAATCAGCTAAAGTTGGTGGGGCAAAACGCTTATTGGTGGGGTAAAATACCTAGTTGGTGGGGCAGCCGCCCCACCAACTGTATAGGAAGCTCCGCCCCTGGGTGCGAGCCCTTTGCCATCAGCAGAGGGCCCTTTCAAGCCTTTTGAGGGCCGTTTAACGTCTCTTGAGTTCCCATTGAGGCCTTCTAAGGGCCCTTTGAGCAGTCGAGGGGCCTTTGAGGCCTTTTGAGGGTCTCTTGACGTCAGCTGAGGACCGTTGGACGCCAGCTGAGGACCGTTGGACGCCAGCTGAGGATCGTTTTTGGGCCTTCTGATGGCCATTAGACGCCAATGGATGACCCTCTGACACCAACTGGGGCCCTCTGACACCAGCTAAGGGCACTTTAAGTTTGACGCTAGCTCAGGGCCCTCTGACATTAGCTGGGGGGCCCTCTGACGCTATCTCAAGGCCCTTTGACGCTCTTTAAGGCCTTTTGAGGGCCCCTTGAGGTCTTCTAAGGGCCCCTTGAGGCTTTTTGAGGGCCGCTTCACGCCAATTGAGGACCGTTTGAGGCCTTCTGATGGCCATTTGGCGCCAGCTGGGGGCCATCTGGCACCAGCTGGGGGCCCTCTGTCACCAGCTAAGGACCCTTTAGAGCCTTCGGAGAGCCATTTGACGCAAGGGCATGGCCCTCTGACGCCAGCTCAGGGACCTTTGACACCCTTTAAGGCCTTCTGACGTTCGTTTGACGTTAGCTGAGGGCCCTTTGAGGCTATCTGAGGGCCCTTTAAGGCCATCTGAGAGTCCTTTGAGGTCATCTGAGGGCTCCTCAAGGCCATCTGAGGGCCCTTTGACACCATCTAAGGGCCGTTTGACACCAGATGAGGGCCCTATGACGCTAACTGGGGGCCCTTCGAGGCCATCTGAGGGCCTTTTGAGACCATCTGAGGGCCCTTTAAGGCCATTTGAGGGCCCGTTGTACACGGTCTTCGGTGGTCTAAGGATTAGTTAGAGGCCCATTTGAGGCGGCCTTCGGCCGCCTCAAATGGGCCCCTTCCTTCGAGTTGGGCCCCCCAACTCGAATGGGGGGGCACGGGCCCGTGTGCCCCCCCTTGTGTGCGCCCTTGTAAAAAGGCTAGGTATGAAAAATGTAAAAAAATACGTAGGTAAAGGCAAAATGGGTAGAAGAGATGTGAAACAACTCTTCTACTTCCTTCAATAAGCTTCCACTAACCATAACAACATTTTCACCAGTCAATCAGGTCACTTGAAGTCACCATATTCAGAATTGTGAATAAAACTGGTAAAAAGCTAATTGGTAAATTTTTTGAAGATCTGATCACTGACGGTTTCTTTCTAAATATGTAGTTTCTAGATTAGCAGTGAAATAGTGCTCTTTCTTGCTTTTGTAATAGCAGTCCTTTAGACAGAATGCATTTACAACAATGACGCAGCTGAGATGTTTCCGACGCAGGCAAATGACCTTGCCGGAAGCGCTACTTGCGTAAACAAACCTGATACGCCGATGCGATGACCTCGATCTCTGCCCTTTGACTCGAGTGCGGCCGGCCTCGTCACCTACCGGGGCTCGAGATCTTTTTATCTGTCGCATCGTGGTCAGTAGGAGGGTGGTGGGTGGGGCACTTCCTGCCAGAAATCTTCACTAGGTACACTGAAAAATACAGTGCAAACGTCGTGCCTCACCATCACGAGCCCAGGCCGTGACGTGAGGATAAACTCGATTGCAGTTTTGATCTCAATCTGATAATTGATAGGTAAGGTAACTGATCTTTGTAGATTATTTTCCTTTAGGTAAATGGTAATATTGGATGTTGATCAATATTTTTATTAATTTGCACTGTCAATGTAAAAAATGCAGTTAACATCCAAGCGTAATGGTATAAAGTAAAAAGCAGTTGCAAAAAAGTGGAAAGCCAAGAGCAAGAGCTGCTTTTACTAAACCATTGACATGTTTTATCACATTGAACTAGTATAAATCATTTTTGAGCATTATTTTTCTTTATAAATGTTTCTATTGATTTGATGTGTGTTTATGTGTGTTTTGCGAGTAGGTACGTATGCTCACATGTGTGATTGATTTGCGAAGATAAGAACGCTTCTCAGTTCAATGGTGCTGAACATTTGAAGCTATTTTTCTCTGATATTGAATGGAAACACCAGAATATTTTTTTTCTATCCATGTCAATGTTGTGCTGGGGAATTGGGATGTATTGATATGACTTCCTATCTGTATCAAAGCAATAATTTTGAAACACATGTGTTGTGCCTCTTCTTTTCATTGTGAAACTTGTAACATTATGTTTATATACGTTGTTGTCACTTCAGTCAGTGCTTACATAGGTACTTCCAAAATTTTCATTTTGAGTTTGATTCATTTCAGGCTGTTTTTTTCATTTGTTTTCATTTTGAAATTGTGCCTTTGAACAGGAGCTTGCAATGCAGCCATTAGTGTCAGTGAATACATATATGTTGTACACTGTGCAAGCTGCATTTTTTATCTCAACATCACAATAATTATTTCAGTATATGTCTAGTCCAGTCTAGTCTAGTCTAGTCCAACTGTCATATGCCCCTTGGGGAAAAATTCTCTTTATTTCTCAGTTCTATTGTGTGATCAGAGGGTTGTTAAAAAGCTTCCTCTTCTTTACAGTTCACAGTTGCTGTGTTTCAATAAAACATTTGATCACATCATGCTGCTCCAGTAGGCAGTAGGCACCAACACACATGAGCTAAAAGAGTTGTAGCTGTATGAGTGATG